CATCCCTTACTATAGCAACCAAAAAGATACCATAACTACGACGATGATTTGTGTGTCACGACCATTGCAACTTTAATGCTATAATTAAATTTTCAGGGACGCGTGTTTTGTCCTACTCACAAATCTGTAGTATTTCATTATTGAATTAAAAAAAAACATTTATCTAGCCCCATTGTGTATCGGATTTCTTACCTGCCAGTCCATGTCCCTTCTGGTCACAAAACTTGAGGCAAAATTCCACCGTCATGGATTCCTTTTCTAATTTGTCAGATTTCAAGGACGCGGCGACATCTTCATCGACGAAACAACCCACGTATCCGCTGATGTCTGGAAAATAGAGCGAAAACTATCAAAATGTTCAAGAAACATCTTATGCGCACGTATGTGCCACTTTGTACGTCGTTTTACGACATACGTGTATTTCTACATGTTAAACTAAAAGTCAAGGTTCAACACAATGAGGGGTGCGAACTTGATTTGAGACAGGCAAGAGGAAACATTGATGAATAGAGCAGAACAACCAAATGTAAATTATAATAACTCTCTCTCTCTCTCTCTCACACACACACACACACACACACACACACACACACACACTATCTCTTTACCTTCACACTTTGGAGCTGGTGCACTCCAGGCCACATTGCCGTCCTCGCCGAGTTTACACTTGGCCTTGTAAACCCCAACCCTGGTGGTTCCATCAGGGCAGTAGTACTTGACACTGTCTCCCTGGAAGAAGAAGCCCTTCATCTCCTGTTTGACGCTGGTCTTCCCCGTGAATCCGAAGCTGCTGATGTCGGCACAGGTGATGGCTGGGAATGACACACAGAAATATTTCACAGTGGTATTTCAGAAAAGGAAGCGCTAGAAGTACATTAATTGTCTGTAGTCGCATGCCTGGCTGTTTGTCTTCCTATCTGTCTGTCCGTCGTTTGACTGCTCGTCCGTCCAGCTACGTGTATATCACAGGCGTAGTGGATTATTACCGATACATGTATTTACTGATTTTCTCAAACATCTACTGATACCACAGTACCTCAGATAGATTTTAAGAACGGTCTTTCCAGAATTATTTAAATTCTACTGATACCACACAGAGTAGAATTTGTCATTTGCCTAAGAATCTCAACTTACTTGGAATTTTTGCGCTAAGTGTGCTCACCGCGACTGAAAAATAAAAAAGCGAAATGATTTATGGGGATGATATAAGGGAACAAAGAAGATATCCATATACTGACAAACTCTTTTAAAAAGCGTGAGTGAAATGGGCGTCTCTTCTCTTGAGACCACCGTTGAAGGTGGGGGTCTGTCCATTATGTTAATAAATATTGCACAGAGTATATGAGACTGTTTATAGTTACCATCGTAAACAGAGAACACCCTCCTGCTTTCACCGCCACATATCTGTTCGCCGTTGCCCTCGCACTTGGCCCTGCATCTGTCACTTGCTTGCATAACGGTGGCCATCTTCTCTGACTTCATACCACACCAGCACTCGTCCTCGTCGTGAAGCCCTGCTAGGTCCATCTTTAGAGCCTGGCAGTAGGCGAGGCATCTGAGATTAAATAAAACAATACAATTAAGTGAGACCGAAGTCATGCTCTTCTTATATGAAATATTTGTAATTGTTTCTCGTTGTTTTTACATTATCTCTGACCAATTGGTTGGCTGATGTGATAGCCAGTGGAGTCGACAGTTGTTCATGCGATCCTGACTGGGACATACCAGATGGACACCCCCCCCCCCTTATGGTAGGGCCTATCTCCTTAACGAGCACTCACCATCTAGAGGTTCAAAAATTCGTAATCCATAGATAACACAATCTAATTTTCCTCGAAAAAGCTTCTAGTTAAAGTTTTGCACATTTCTGATTCAAGAACTTAGTTGTAAATGAATTATGATTTATTAAGACTGTTTAGACCATGCCTGGCGTTTCACTAGGACATATCGACTCTAACCACTTTTTAGCAGGGGTTGTCAGCCTTTTGGACGGCTGCATTCGGAAGGGGATGTAGCCCTGAAGGAATTTTTGAAAAAAAAAAAAAAAACAAACAAACAAACAAAAAAAAACAACAACAACTTAGTTTAAAACGCATATAGTGTATTATAAAACAACCAGTTATAACACACCATCACACTTCACACCGCATGAAGGCGGTGTAATTGCAGACCGCGTGTTTGTAGCATGAGGAACACTTTTACAGTGGGAACTTATGCGTACGGCACTAGCTCTGGTCGGGGTCCATATCTTGGATTTCTATCCGCCTTGAGGGAGAACTGAATTTAAATTTGAAGAGAAGACTAGTATTCCAAATTGCGAATTAGCTACTTCTCCACATTGCGTTAGTTGCGACTGCTTTAAATTGATTGCGTCAGTGTTACCGCATTGCGTGTGATTGTGCTTGCCATACCAGATATTCTCGACAGATACAACAAGAATCACATCTAAGGATATTTTATGTCATGTCGTGGATGATGATGTCTTCAGATTTGTGCATCTTTGTCTCTGACTAAACAGGTCTAAAGGTCGTAATTTTAATCATTTTTTAAGCCGAGGCCATTATCGCCTCGGGGTATTTTTAGTTAGCACCACAAGCTTGTTTATTTATAGCAGATAAGCTATCATTTTCGATGCTACACTGTGACCTTCATTTTAGCATCTTTAGACGTTTTTTATATGAGATTTTATATTTCAAACGATTCATATCTTTTTTGAACCTTTCGAAATTTTACATTCCAGGTCCCATCAAAATCTAACGTTCTCTAGTACCTTCACATTTCTTTTCAAAGGAATATGCAGCACGTCTGTGCACTGGTACTTACTTCTCTACTGTGAGATCGTTAGCTTCCCATTTAGTATCGCGTTGAAATATTTTGTCCTCCGATTTCTTAGCGTCAGTGAAGCACCCTAAGCCGCCAGGCATTACTGAAATAATCAACACAGTATTTTTATTTTCTAATTTAAAAAAAACTGTTAGAACTATTACTCAGTAGCCACCTCAACCTTTTGTGCTCAATAACGATTGCAAATCACTTAAGTCTGATTCTATTCCTCAATAAGGGAAGTATTTTATTATCTCTCTCTCTCTCTCTCTGTGTGTGTGTGTGTGTGTGTGTGTGTGTGCGTGTGAAGCCTACGTGTGAATACTTTTCCATTACTTACATACCTTTGCTAACCTCAGGCTCATCCGCCGGGGCAGCTGCACAAAACTAAAACAAGCAAAATTATGAGATACATTGTTTCGAAAAAGTTCAAATTGCTTACGACCGAGAGTCTAAATCTTCAAAGTTTATGACACTCTTTTCCTAAATCACCCCCATTTCCCCCACCTGCGCTCCCGGAATATTCTCACAAGCGCATGTTAAAAATTCTCTGTAAAGTTCATGTAGTTTGTCCCCTTTTAAAAGTTTCTTTCGCGATGAAAAGATGATTTAAACTGCTCTCTCTCCTTCCTCTTATAAAATCTTTAAGCTAAATACAAAGCAAAAAACTTCAAGAACTTGTATTTGAGCATTTTTACCTGCAGCAGAGCCACACATGCCAAAGTGATTAACGTAGGCCTCATCTTGCGACGCTAACTTGCTGAATCTGCGCAAATCTTCGTCGTGCTCCATTTATACGGCAAGGTGTCGGTTGGGGGATAACCACTCCACAAGACAGCGATTAAGGTCTTGAGTCAGGGTTATCGACTATAATATTTACCAATAGATATTATTAATCAGTTTAGATACGCATTATATAAGAAGCATTCAGGTGCAGTGATGTTTGGTTGACGGTGGATTTAAATTCCCTAGCTTCAATCATGAGCCTAGGACGTGTAGTCAAGGGAACTTACAGCGCTGCAGTACGTAATTTTTTCAAGTGCATTCACTCGACGTTATAAGTTTTGCACAATTCAACCTAAAATCATGCTCATATTCGAAACTACCATTAATCTTTTAAAATAACGCATGATCCTTACGAACTGCATTTCAGAACTTCGTGACATTAAATTTAGCTGCTCAATACGTTGTCTTCGTGTTTCTTGATCTAACTTGCAGCATACTAGCTATAGTCCGCTTTATAACTGTGTATCAAACATACGCCATTGTACAAAATCGTTTGGTGCATCTTCCCCGTCCATACAAAGAAGGAAAAATGCCTACTGTTGCTCATTTTTATATGATTTTGCCTATGGAGAAATCTGAAATAATGAGTTCCCCGTTTTAATTTTGCTCTTTGTTTCGTCAGATTGCTATCAACTAAGGTAAAAGGTTTGTATGTTTTCTAAAGTAGCGAAGTGTATATAGGGTATTCAATATGTGTAATGCAGTACATAGGCCTAAATACATGTATTTTCCATATTATTTCAAATAATAATTATCATTTTATTAGTAATTCACAGGGCTGCTAAAGCTTATATTTATTTATTTGTACGTATATCTCCTCCGCGCGAGAGAAACATTTAGTTGGCAAAGTCGTGACCATAGCATTAAGCCGACCATACATTTATATATCTATCTCATAGATAACTCTAATGGTCGTTAACCAATATTACATACATAAGGTTTAAAGGTTGTCAAAAAGTAAACAGTGGGTGTAACAACAGACATATTGTTCCATAGTGGCACCATTAGCACATGGGTGGCAATGATGCCAAGGTCGTACTTAATATCAAAGGGCTTCTTTTTTTATTACAGGGCCTGGGCGTCCAGAAGCTGGTTGTCACAAACCTCATTTTCTTCAATACGTTTGCTTATTCATTATCTTACCTAACGGCAACGGAATATTGCAGTCAATCAATGCTCATAGCAAGCAAATGTCCTTTGTATCTGGGATTAGATTTTCAATAACAAAAAAGGATGCCTGGTAGCACTATTTGCATATTTGCGATAATGTACCGCAGCTACGTGTCTTTACTAAGGTCCCCTAGGCAGTTCTAGCATTGACAAAACGATTAAGGCCGGTGATAGTAAAAGGACCAAAGTCATAGAAACAAAGCCCTGGGCTTATAAGTTTTTATAAAAAATTAAAACAAACTTCCCAAAAGGCCAATTAAAGACGGGGATTAAGTACAGTGTCCAACGGATGACGCTCTGGCGCCAATTTGAGGGGAAAAATGCCGTTTTCGGTTTTGGGATTTTCTCTATAACCAAGACAGCTATTCAAGCGATTCAAAAGACCTCATAAAGCTGGGTGAAAGCACTTCAGCGCGGTACCAGGGAATTGTCTTAAACTATTTACTTTTGATTTTATCATCTTTTACGTTAAATTACCCCATATTTCAATGGCTTATTCACTTCAAAAGGCGATATCTTTCAAACAAACAATTTTCTCTTAAACCCCTGATATCATGCTGTAGTCCACATTCCTAACAACAATAGGTGCAACTTTTGTAACGATCGGTTGCTCAGATAGTGAGATATACTTGGCAGCGATTCACTTATCTCGTCAATATAGAAAGCTGTTAAAACAGCCAAAAACGTTCACAGGTTGGTTAACAGGGCTTATTAGTCAAATGCTTAGCTGGCAAATTTACCTGTTATCGGTTATACGATCAGCTGGAACCATTGCTTATTGTCATCTAAAAATATTTTGTTTGGGTGCTTTGAAGGGGCAGAAAATCGTGCTTTTGTTACATTTTCCGACCACTCGTTAGGCATGTAAGCGTGCCGCCATTTTGATT